GAGAGAGAAGCTCTTCCTTCTCTTTAGAAATTTTCCCTTCTCATGGAGTTCATTACAAAAAAAACCTCATATCCCTCCAAAACCCCCAGATTCTTCCCTTAACACGCAACAATCATATGCCTCTTTATTCAACATCAAATCAGCTACCTATTGATGATGCACAACTAGGAAAACTTGATAAACCTTTAGTTTTTTATAAGGGGAGCCAGCGTTTTACTCACAAACGAAGAAATTCAAAAGTCTTGCCAATCTCTTCAATACACTTTGACTGGAAATTTCTCATATGGAGGCCATCACTAGGAGTCATCAAGAAGTAATCCGATCTAAATGGAGCCTACAGGGAGATTTTGAAGTAGGTCATTGGCCAGAGGCACATACTCCTACGGTTTCACTGAAAGAAGATTATGTCAAGACATGGCTAAAGGATGCAACATTAATAGAGGACTAACTCTTTAGGTTTTCAAGTGGTTCTCAGGCTTTGTACAAGGCATAGAGCCTTCAACAGTTCCTCTTTGGATCTCACTTCATGGTTTGCCACAAATTTTTTTAAGAAACCTTATCTTGAGTACTGGTAAAACCTATAGGAAGGGTGCTGGCTTACGATCAAGCCACCCTTTCTTTATCAAGACCAGGTATGGCAAAGAGTACGCGTGAGGTTAATCTTAGGCCAATAACACCCAACAAATTTGGATTGACATGGGAGACAAAGGAGCTAGGTGGCAGCGAATAATCTATGGGCGCAGTAAGCAATTCTGCAAGGGCTGCAAGAAGCAAGGTCATGTCGAGGAAGATTGTAGAAAAAGGAAAGTGCCTCTGATACAGGAAGAAAAGCAAGGAAAGAACCAAGACCTAGGGGCAACTATGACAAAAATAGGTAATAAGAAGAATAAGGCAGCAAGCTCAACAGAATCAAATCTTGGGGAAAGCACACAAGGAAATTTCAGAAAATAGGAAGCTCAACCTCAATCAAAGCAAGCAATCTGGCTCAGTCATTTAAAGGGATTTGGATACATCAACCAAGTCAAAGTAGGCTCTAAATTCAAACAATGTAAGGGCAAACGCTTTAGGTAAGCAAAAAAAATTGATCCTCGAATCAAGAGAATTAGGGAAAGATGCAACTCCTAGGATTATGGTAACAGAAGATCACTCAGGAAAAGATACCACAGCTCACAAGCAAGTATACTCCATTAACTGCTCAAATTCAACATGACAATAGTGCATCAATTGACATAGCCGCTGAGGCAGTGGACTTAACAACGACAAAAAAGGAAACATGTGTAGATGTTGGCCCCACACAGAAGAACGAAGTAGCAGACTTGAATGCAGGCGAGGTGGAAAAGATAAATGTAGAAGGGGTGGCAAAATCAAATGCAGAGGTAGAAACATCAATGGCCAATGATCCACATTTTGTCACACTAAACTACTCTACTCAAATTTCTGATGTCTCGAACGATGGAATCAATGAGTCCTTATCCTTGATTCAGGTGTTGTCGGATTATGGTCCTTGTTCTTTGAATAAGCAATTGCCGGTGGATGTTGAAATGGTGGTAGAAGTTCATAAGAAAATTCATAGTCAAGGGGATATTATTCCAAGTATGTCAAGAGAAGAGATTCACAAAGCATTTAAAGCTAAAAGGAATTTATTTCAAGGATGACTATGTTAAGGAGTCTTCTCTCCACGAGTACACAAGGGGTTTTTAATTCGACGGTGAGGAGGAGTCTTTGGCTCTGAGAAGATGATTTTAATTTTTTTATGGCATCGTCCAAAAAATTACTGTCAATACTCAATAAGATTGAGCTAAAGAAGAAGAAAAAAAGAAGAGGAACTATATGTTTTGGCGTTGATGTTGATGTTGAAAAATATCCCAGCAGTGAAAAATTCAGCAATAATGACTAGGTCCAAATCCAAGCTAGCCTTCAAAATTCCTAAGCAAAAAGAATCCATACGCATTTAGGCGCTAAATGGAGGACTTTCAACTACTGCTTTTTGAACCGAACGTGGGTTTCAAGGAAGATTTTAAGCCACGGTTTCATGGAGGACTTTCGGGGATATGTCCAATGCACTGTTCACGTCACTGTTCTCTTTTAGCTGGAGATGCTGCGGCTGGTTATTTCTTGCAGCAGTTTTCATGCAGGCACTGTTCACGTCACTATTCAGCTAAACCGTTTTTAGCTGGATTTCTCAGCTAGATTTTCTTCTTTAAACAGTCATTATGCAAGGAGTCTGGCACTGTTCACGTTAGTATTCAACTGGATTCTTTCAGGTGAATTTTCAGCTGTAGTTTTCAGTTGATTTTTCTTATGCAAGGGAGTTTTCAACGCTATGGATATGGGCTCTTTTTTGTTGATTTATTTCTCACTGTCACTCATAACAAGCATGCAATTTAGTCATTAAAAGGGACTCATGATGGGAACAAGAATGCATGGAGACTTTCGAAAAGTAGTAGCCATTTTCCCTTATTTTTAAATGGAATTATGGATTTATGGGTATTGTAATATTTTAAAGGGGTAAGGTTTAAATGTCCCCCCTAGTTTCTTGTAATTTTGATTTGGTACGAATAATATTTATCCTCGTATTGTCGAGGTTTAATTTAAAAAAAATGAGTCTACTTATAATTTTAATGTTTATTTTAGTAATTATCACCGATATGATAGAGAATATATTTTATTATATATTAAATGAATGATAAATAGTGAAGTGATAATATGATTGTGGATATAAATAATAATAAAGTTAATGTAAGACTTTCAACATATAAAAATTCATCAAAATTAATTCTAAATAGTTTTGATTAACATTTGTTTGGTAAAAATGATATAATTAGCCTTTTTTTGTCATTTATATCTACTATGTTTAGCAATTTTAGTCTTTTAAGTTTAATTAATGAAATTTTAAGAATTAAATAGGATATAATTAAATATAAATGTATTATTCTATTTTTATCAATTACAAGAAAAAATTATGTTTGTTAAAATATACAGTGTCCACCCTGAAATAATTTTTTGGCTCCGCCCCTAGGTGGTAGCCTAGTTCTTTTACTGTTTTTGGGTGGTGGGTAGTGGTGATGGTGATATTGGATGGTGGGTAAGTTTTTTACTGTTTTAGGTAGTGGATGGAGGTGGTTGGCGGCGATGGTGGTTGGTGGTAATTGGTAGCGATGATGCATTGTGGTTGACTAATTTTTCACTATGATGGTGGGTGATGGGTAGTGGTGGGCTAATTTTTCATTGTTTTGGGTGATGGTGATTGGCTGCGATGTTGGGTGGTGGGTTAATTTTTTACTATTTTTTATGATGGGTTATTTTTTTACTATTTTGGATTTTGGATGGAGGTGATTGGTACTGATGGTGGGTGGTGGATTACTTTTTTACTGTTTTGGATGATGTGTTAATTTTTTACTATTTTGGATAGTAGATGGAAGTGGTTGTCATCAATGGTGAGTGATGGGTGAATTTTTTACTATTTTAGGTAGTGGGTTAGTTTTTTATTATTTTGGATGGTGATTGGTGAGTGATGGTGGTTGGCAATAATAGGGGTGGTGGTGGCAATGATGGTTGATGGATATTGGTGGCGACGGTTGATGGATAGTGGTGGTGACGATTGATGGATAGTGGTGAGTATTGGATAGTAGTGGTTGTCGACGATGGAAAGTAGTTGGTGGTGTAGACTAATTTTTCATATTTTTTTGTGGAGTTGGTTGGCGGTGATGGTGGGTGGTGTTGAGTGTGGGTGTGGGTGGGGTGACGGGTAATGGTGGTGAGTGACAAGTGGTGGGTGGTGGTGGTGGTGGTGGTTGGCGATGATGGTGGCTGATGATGGGCTAATTTTTCAATATTTTGGATGGTGGTGATTTACGGTGATGGTGGTTGCGGAGTGATCGGTTTTAGTGGGTGTGGTGGTGGGTGGCGATCATTGGTGGTGGTGGTGGCTGGGTGGTAATGGTGGCAATGGGTGGTGGTTGGCAGGTGATAGTGGTTGGTGAACAACAACATGTGGTGGTGGTGGTGGTGGTTGTTAGCGATGGTAGGCTAATTTTTCACTATTTTGAATGGTGGATGATGATGGTTGGCGACAATAGTGGGTGGTGGTGGTGGGTTATGGCGATGGTGGTCGTGGATGGTGGGTGTTAGTGGATGGGGGTGGTTGGCGACGAGTCATGGTGGTGGATGGTAGTGGTGGTGAGTAGTGGCAATGAATAAGTGGTGGTTGACGATGATGTTGGCTGGTGACGATGGGTGACGATAATGATGGGTGGTGATGGTTGACTGGTGATTGTGGGTGTTAGTGGGTGGGGGTTGTGGGTGATGGTTGGTGGTAATGGTGTTGACAACAATGCGTGGTGATGTTGGGTGGCGGGTGGTAGTGGTCGTGGGTGACGGGTGGTGATGGTGGTGGTTTATGGTGATGGTGGTGGCGGGTGGGGATTAGTGGCAATGTGTGGTAGCGGCAATGGTGGTGCCGACAGTGGGATGATAATGGTAAGTGATAATAAAATATAAAAATTAGATACTTGTGAAAATTTTTAAATAAACTTATTCTTTAAGGGTATTTTTGTCAATGATTGATTTTATACACTTTTATTTTTAAAAGTATTGAGGTTGGACTTAAAGCCAAAATTGTTCTCACCAAATCTCACTTATTTTTGTGATCCTAGAACGATAGGGTACGTTGGTACCGTGGTATTATGGTATTGTTTGTTCTAAAAAACAATTCGGACCATTGATTTGAATTAAATGATTTATAATTATTGGCTAAAATGTGAAGGTATAATGCCAAAAAGTAAATTTGGTATAACACTCCTCTATAACTTATTTTCACACTCAAAATATCCAATTTTGCCCTCAATATATATCTTTCCACCACAAAAATTCCTCCTACACCTCCATCAAACACACACAATCCCCCCCTCCCAACCCAAAAAACATTAAAAAAAAAACATGGTTTTCTCCTCCTTCCCACTACCCATTTTCCTAATTACTGGGATGTAGGTTTAAGCCATCTTTTTCTTATCACTCCCTGGCTCTCTCCAGTGGGTTAGCCTTAAAAGGTCAGGAGAAAGTGAGCCAATCAATTAAAACCCAGGGGCGATAAGAGATTAGGGAGTGTCATATATCTGTGAGTTGGAGCTCACACATGTCCCCTCAATAAAATTTTGACTAGTAGTGTGTGTGTGTGTGTGTTCGGTGTAGGGGACTTTTTTTGGGTCAAGAACAAAAAACCCAGACTGTATAACCAAATTAACAACGACACCGGTCTCTACTCTGGTTGAGTAAATTGATTAGCTCAAAACAAATCGTCCAAAAAGGCCAAAGAAACCGAAGCCCCCCATTTCGACCCTCCTCTCATGCTCCGAGCATTGCTGTTTCTGCTTTTCGTTTCCAGCAACTTTAGCAGGTCTCTATCTCTAATTTCTCTCTCTCTAGTAACCCACTTTTCATTTTATTTTGTGTTTCATTTAGTTATTCATATTTTAGGCTTGTTTTTTAACTTAAATTTGCTGTACTCTTTTGGGTCATTTCATTGCAGTTCATCCGCTTGTTGCCATGAAATGTGAAATTATAGCATTTTTACACAACTATATTTGGGTTTTATTTTTTTAAGCGACATGTACTGTTTTGGGGGGTTTTCAGTTACCTGGGTTTCATTCCGGGCAGTGTGATTATGTTAATTCTTATTCTTCATCAGCGAACGTGCCATTCTAGTATTTCTGACTTTTTAGTTCAACTTCTGTTGATTTTTTTGTTATCCGAGGCATTTTTGAAAGAGGTTTAAATGTCACTCTCTAGATGGGCTTCTTCTTCCTGTACCTGAGTATTTTCTGGTTTTCTGGTTTCTGATTAATAGGTATTGGAAGAATTATTTCGGACTTCAGTTTGACGTATAGGGAATTGGGTTTCTTTATTTTGTGGCATTAGTCAAGTTACATTAACTTCTGAGATTTAGGCTGTTGTGTAATGGCAACGTCTATATCCCCATATTTTAAGCCTTTCGATACTCGAGGCCCAATGGGTGTACTAACTGTTCTTGGAGGGAGAGTATTGATGGAGAATAATCACTTGGGAAGAGTAAGCTCCCTGAAGGTGTTTGAGGAAAATAATGGGTTGTCAGGTGTTAACCAAAAGGTTGCTTCAAATTGGGCTCAGATTAAATGTTCAGCCAACTCTCACAGTGTCAATCAGTATCATAATAAAGACCCATTTCTGAATTTGCACCCAGAAATTTCAATGCTTAGAGGTGGAGAGGGGAACAACACGGTGCCTAATCCGAGGCAGGATAGTGCAAGTGGGAGTGTCACCGAGAGCTTAAGAGATTCGTCGAGTTCAAGTAATTACAATGAGGCTAGGATAAAGGTTATTGGTGTTGGAGGCGGTGGGTCAAATGCAGTTAATCGTATGATAGAGAGTTCTATGAAGGGTGTGGAGTTCTGGATTGTTAATACTGATATTCAAGCGATGAAAATGTCACCTGTGTTTCCTGAGCATCGGTTACAGATTGGTCAAGAGCTTACCAGGGGACTTGGCGCTGGTGGGAACCCAGATATTGGCACGAATGCTGCGAAAGAAAGCAAAGAAGCCATAGAGGATGCAGTTTATGGTGCAGACATGGTCTTTGTGACTGTAAGATCAGCTATTAATTTCCAGCATAAATTGGTATCTGATGTCATTTTAGAATTTTCCTCCTTTTTGAAGGATTTTTGTTGTAAAACCATCTTTTTTATCTTACATGATGGTGCTTGAGCCTTCTTTCTTCCCTTTTTCATGACATTGTTAGTTAGTGAAGAGCATAAACCACTAACAAATGTAAAAGAATTGTAGACGAATGACAGGAAAAAAAAATACAGACTAATGAAATGGTTTCCTAACTGGGTGGGTTTCATTTAATACTCATTCAGAAGGCAATCAATCAAAACAGTGTCTTTTGATTGTCCAAACATACAGTCTCCAGTTTGACGGCTTGGGTTTTGTAATTCCTCCTTTTGATAACCAGTTGTAGTTACACAAGTACTTCTTTAATCTGGTGACAGTAACACTAATGGTTTCACCAATTTAAGTCTTGATACTTAATCGAACACAATGGAAATTGGTTAAGTTGAAGTAAATTGGTGTTGGCGGTACTTATGAATTAGTCTGTTGAATAGATGAGCATGCAGAAGGTTGAGTCGTTAAGTTAATTGTGTAAAGATGGTCTATCGTTGCTAATGCCCATCGTATGAAAAGTTACCTGCATGTTCTTTACCCTTGAAGAACAATTATGATGAAACTCAAAAACCTTGTTCAAAGATTTGTTTTACTGTTTGACAGCATTCATTTTTTTTTTCATGATATCTAAATCTAAAACCAGTCACACGATATGTAATTTGTAATCATAGTATGGTCCATAATAGTACCATGCACTGTTGGCCAAACAGAATCATCACAGCCTATTCTTGTAAGATCAATGAAATATCAATCATGCATTTTATGCTTGAGAAATGCTATCCTTGGATCTTGGTCTTGTATGCTAGGCTTGCAAATGGATAATGGGTGTTCAGTGGGTCAATATCTAAACAAAATCACAGCCTGATGTGGTAAAATACTAGCTTCAGAACGGCCTACTTGTTAAGCAACTAATACCTTCATGCCAACAGTTTGTTGCTTTCTCCATTTTTCAGATTCTATCAATCTCTTATCTAGTACCAAAACTGATATGTGCAGTCTGGAATGGGTGGAGGAACGGGCACTGGTGGGGCTCCTGTAATTGCAGGGATTGCAAAGTCAATGGGTATCTTGACTGTTGGTATTGTAACAACACCCTTTTCTTTTGAGGGACGACGGAGAGCAGTTCAAGCCCAAGAAGGAATTGCAGCTCTGAGAGAAAATGTTGACACCCTGATTGTCATTCCAAACGACAAGTTACTAACTGCAGTGTCCCCATCTACTCCAGTAACAGAAGCATTTAACCTGGCTGATGATATTCTTCGACAAGGGGTTCGTGGTATCTCTGATATAATTACGGTATGATGCCAAATAAGTTGTCATGAGAACTTCAACTTCCATCTGTAACTAATTTATTGATTGAAAGTGCTGGATTTGTACGCACTTTCTTTTTATTAGGGGTTCTTTCTACATAGGCTTCAGGTGCATGAAGGCATCCTTTTGTTTTAATAAAATTTTTAGCCATCTGTAAATCATTATGCTTCCAAATTGGTAATTAGTTCCTTGTTGCTTCATTGATCATTGTGATGAGAAGATTTTGTTTTACTTTTAAGTAATAATATTTTTGCATTTAGTGTATATGATGATTCCAACATCTGCAACATTTATACCTTTCGCATGCACTTAAATATTTCTCATGGGAGAAAATGGTCATCCATTATGTTGATGACAATCACAGGAACTGCCTTCCCGCATGTGGGGATAAGGCTGCATACATCTTCCCCCTCCCCCCTCTCTCCCTGAACCTTTTATTATATTACTCATTTGTGCAAAATGAAGAGGATAAGGTCATCACTGTAAGTTAATGAATTACATAGAATGTCGAACCTTGAAAATTAATATACACACCAATTTATAATACAAAATGTCATATGAGAATGCCTGTGTGTATTTACTTCCCATATATACACGCACACATACACATGTTAGGGTTTATTTTCTTGTTCAATGATTAGATGAGGTACCTTAATTGCAGATTCCGGGACTAGTGAATGTTGATTTTGCTGATGTGCGAGCTATTATGGCCAATGCAGGTTCATCATTAATGGGAATAGGAACTGCAACAGGTAAGTTCAAAACTACTTAGTTAATGATATCCAATAGTCCTGCGTAAAAGGAAAGCTTGCTTAATTCTTTGTTGTGTTCTTTATTAGTTAAGTTTTAACATTGCACTTATTTTCGTGACAAGTAAAGAATTCTCCTAAGAATGTGTAGTGCAGGGGCCACACACCTGTCACGCAAAAAGTAGAGCATGACCAGCCCCGACCTCCTAACCTTAACTGCAGTTCTTCTCCATAAAAAACTCCTCCTGACTGCCTAGTGGAGATAGAATATCCAAAACTATGCTTCAATATGAGTACTAAAGTTCTTCCAAATCAAAGATGCGCTTGTTCTCTTCTTTCCAAATTCACCAAGGAAGCGAGTGGCTTTCGTTTGGATTGCCTGCTTGCTCTGAGTGAAAAATATCAGATTTTTGTAGTACCCTCCTCAGGTCAAATAAGCAAAGAAAGTACCATAATTCTCCTGCTAACTTGTCTCCTCCACACCTGTATCCCTGCAACAACTTCTTAAACTCAGTTTATTTCCATGCACCGGGATTATTAATCGTCGGGATTTTTCCTGAAACTGCAGTCCGCTCAAATATGCCATTATACATGTGCCAGCCAGATATATAGCCTGATAAAATCCAAATTAGCATCTCCAAGCAGCACCTTTTAATAGGGCTTGATATCAAACTTTCCTCTTTTTGATAATCTCCAGTTGAACCCCTCCCCTCCAAACCCCAGTTGTGGACAGCACTGATCATGAACAACCCCAGCAACAAAGCTTATAAATATGCCAGTGTGGCCACCACAATATATATGCTGCATTCTAACAACCATATATAATACTGAAATCGAATCCTCTGACCTTTGCCCACTAGTAAACATATAGTCTTTGCTTAACCCCATTCACTACCTAGCACGATGATGGCCTCTAATCTTATTAGTTGTCTAGTGACCCTTGTCCCCTCCAAACTTCCCAACCAGTACTCTCTTCCATTCCCATAGCATACTTTCATACCTGCTTCTGAATAGAGCTTGGCTTAAGTGATGAAACCACCTTTAACATTGCACCTTAGTTTCTTATCTTCTACAAGAAGTTTTATTTATGAATTTGAATTGAAAGGGAATTTTGAATAGCATTCAGAAGATTCTCATTTTTTTTTTGTGTTTTGGGGGATAAGAGATTAAGGGCTTCTCAAGAGGTAACTTGTATACCTAGACGTGTAGAGTTTATTTGATAACATCTGAAGCTCTGACAGTTCTCTTTCTTTTTACCTATGGTGCTGTTGGCTGGAATAGTACCTCTACTTTGGAAAAAGACACTACTTATCATTCTGCTTTGTAGTGGGACTTCCACAATATGTGACCTTAATGTAGTACTTTATAGGGCAGCAGGTTCCATGCAATCATATATCTTCACGAATTTGTTTCCATTACTTGACGACAAACCACTTTGGGCAGCTCTGCTTTCAATAGCAAAATGGCCAAGTTATTCCAACGACTGTAGAAAGATAATGAGGAATTGACCTATTCCTAGTATGGTGTCTTCCCACATATACATCCTTAGTAGACTTATACTTTTCTCATCCTACAATGAAATTTAAATGCTCTATGTTTTTTCTGCATGATATTACGGTCATGGGGCAAGATTGTGCAAAAGCCAAGAAAAATAATAAGTAGAATTCTGCATTATGTAAGATTGCTAGTTCTGGGGATGATTTTTCTCATGATTTAGTTTTCAATATGTTATGAAATAACTAAATTCCATATGACAAATCTGGAAGGAACTGAGTGAATTTCACCCTTTGCATACTATGGTTTGGGACAATCTCTCCTAAAGTCATACGCATACCAATGTGATTCAATTGCCAAAAGAGACCCTTTCATTAGGCTTCTTGAGTCAGAAGCTACTATTGTACTCTTGTCAAGTGCTCACTTTCCAAATACTGTCATATTTTATCTTGTGGCCATTCTGCTTTCCAGGTAAGACCAGGGCCAGAGATGCTGCATTAAATGCCATTCAATCACCTTTGTTAGATATTGGTATAGAGAGGGCTACTGGAATTGTGTGGAATATAACTGGTGGCAGTGATCTAACCTTGTTTGAGGTACTTATCTCTCTCTCTCTCTCTCTCTCTCTCTCTCTATACACACAAACACACATGCATATAGTAATGGTTTTGTGAAAGAAAAAACAAGCGTGAGTCATCACTGTAAGGCCGACTCTCTTTTTGCCATAAAAATGATTCACAATACCAATTTATTTCACAGCATGGATAGTAAGGACCATTATTAACAAAGAGCATTATTAGAAAGTCTGGTTGTTGTGCTTCACCTTGATATGTCAATTTTGTGAAATTTGTGGCAGCAGTGTTGCTTCCTTCCCCTTGACATGTCCTCTTTTATTTTTCTGGTTGGGTTGCCGTGACATATCTAGTGATGTCCAACTCACATTGGTTATTTTCTAATCATTGATTCAGACATGTGAATGTAAGTTTTAACCAATATTTATCAGTTTGGTGTTCACTGGGGACAAGTTAGTAGTTGTAGCCTAAATCTTCCAGGAGTCCTAAATGTTACCAGAAATACCTTTCTTATTCCCCCTGCATAGGTGTTCCAAGACCTTATGATATTTCCACGATAATTATGGTCATTCTTTTAGTGAGCTCTGTTATAGCTTATCTGACTCTTGATTCCTCTTGTCATACCATCCTACTCTATTTTCGGATTATGTCAGGTAAATGCTGCAGCAGAGGTCATATATGACCTTGTCGATCCAACTGCCAACTTAATATTTGGAGCTGTGATAGATCCCTCGCTGACTGGCCAAGTAAGTTATTTATTCAGTCATGAGCAGGATAGACTTTGCTTATCAATGACCCTCATTACAAATGATCCTGTGTGCAATAATCACTAGCCCACCATTTGATTGTCCCTTGAGGAGACTTGTCAAATAGTGTCAGAGATAAAGTCCATGATCAAGCAAGACACCAAGCCCTCCCATCCTTGGGACTGACTTCTAAGATGGACAGGGAAATTGAAGAAGATATGCAGAGTTAGTGAATTTAGTTTTAGGGGGTAAGAATAATGTTTCAACTCCTTAACGTTACCCAGCTGGAGAGAGAAAAGCTATCTTTTTCTTTTCCGTAATTGTTTCTTTAGTTTTTTTTTAACTTTTTTTGGTTGCTTTGTATTTGTGGCTGCAAAAAAAAATGTACATTTTGCCATTCTTCTAGTTTTTGCCCGCCCTTGGCTGTAAAAAAGCAACATTTGAGATAGAAAGTGGGCAGTTACCATTTATAATTTATCTTAGGTAGAACAGGCAAGTAGTCAAAGTTATGTATTGTATAAAACACTACATTAACTTGTGAATGAGTTAATGAGCTGAATTCGGTGTTTCACATGCTGCTTCATGTTTCGCAGTACTATTACTGTCAGATCTCAGAGGTAGGCTTGCTTTGGTTTTTATTGATATCAACAAAGGCAGAATATGAGCTGCTTGTCCAACATTCTGAATCCTGATTTTCAACAATGTTCACATTTCAACTGAAAAACCTCTCATACTGCCATTTTCTTTTAAGCCTTTGACTTCTATATGTGTATAGATTAACTGTGACTTGGATCTGTCTCTACTAAGGTTCATATGCATTTGATTAATTGCTCACTTTGCATTTGTTTTATATTCAGGTCAGTATTACTCTAATTGCCACTGGATTCAAACGCCAAGAAGAAAGTGATGGAAGAACCATCCAGGTATTACTTGAACCTTCTTCCCCCCCCCCCTTTCTCTCTCTCTCTCTCCACCACCCCCTTCACACATCCTGCCTGTGCTGCCTTAAGCTTATAGGCATCTGGTCAAAATGCAGGCAAATCAGCTAGCCCAGGGAGATGTCACCCGGCGACCATCATTCACAGAAGGTGGTTCAGTGGAGATCCCGGAGTTTCTCAGGAAGAAGGGACGCTCACGCTATCCAAGAGCCTGAATCGGTTTTCACTTTCCCCCTTATAACATAAACTTTTCCCTCTAGAAGTAGCTCTCTTCAACTTGATCTCACCTTCTAAGGGTACTAAAATTTGTCTCTGTATGTACAGGATTTTCGTTACGCATCTAATATGGCTTTTAGCTCTGAGAGAATGTATTGCATATGCCTTTCCTAATAAAAAAGATTTTATGTTGTACCCTGATTGTGCAAGTCAAGAATTATAACTATCCTATATTTAGCCCACGGAAATAAGTTGGAGATCTAGTAGAGCAAGGCTATAGAAGCATATTTGGCTGACCTCTGGTTTATACAGATTCTATTGTTTTGAAGCTTAGCTGAAGTCATGCATAAACTATTATTGATTAAAGAGGAATTATAGAAGTGGATACGAGGATATTTCACTGCTACAGGTGATTTTTCTTTCTTTCATGTGCTTCTGTGAAGAAATTCAACAGTATCTACCCATGCCAAGAAGGAATTTGAACTGGTTGCTGTTGGTGGCTAAAGACCTGCAGGGTTGTGTCTCTTTGGGATTTTATTTGAGCTTCTGATTTCATTTTCATGTCCAAATGAGAAGGCAAAAGTGAAGCCCTGCGGTTGACATGAGAAGGTATATTCAGGGTAATGATAAGAGGAAGATACAATATTCACATACAACACGAATACGATATGACATGACGGAAAGTCGTACTTGTGTTATAAAATGAAAAATACAGGGTTTTTTTTTTTTTTTATCATTTTCTCGTTTTCCCACTAGCCTCTGCTCCATTTTTGTCCTTCTGTTTTTGTTTTTCAATGTATCTAGCCACCTTCAAGTTGGAAAATATATCTAGTGATATTTTGGACCCCCCATGGTCTGGAATGAATGGAAGATAACCTACAAACAAATTTTTTAAAATTTGTGGTTCAAATTGAAGGACACAAGTTCGTTTCGTAGTACCAGAAATAATCAAGAACATTCATTCTAGAACACAAGATTTACGTGATTCATTAAAAAATCTTCTACGAACGTCTTTTCGCTATGTGAAAATCTCAATAGGGTTATATTTTATTTGTCAATAATCCTAATGTATTACTTAAACCTAATCCCAATTGGAGTGAGATATCTAATCCTAGTTCCACTTGGCTCCAGATACTGGCTAGTGGACGTTGGACTAGGTGAATATGAGACACAATATTTATAAGACAAATGTGTACTACTTACATGCATAGGTATTCATCACAATATTAGGGTGTGTGGCCCCCACTGCATTTGGCCTTTCTTCTATCAGCATATGCACCATCAAATTTGATTTTTTTTTTTTTGACAGATTTTCCACCATGATACAATATGAAGGGACCAGTTCAAGACATTTTTGTTCTCACAAGCAAAATAAATTCATTTTAAGTAAGGGGTGAAGAAATAATTTAAAAAAGAAAAATAACAAAATTTTCTCATTAAATTCAATACTTTTAAGGTTAGTAATTTTCTCATTAAATTCAATACCATGTAAATAGATCGATAAAAAAAACTCAATATTAGAAAGAGAGAGTTATGGCCACAGAAAGAAGTGGACATGGAGGATTGAGATTTTTAATGCCAATAACAAATGTTGACAAGTTAACGATCGATCTCAAGTTTCTACCCTACTCTATTGAACGGCTAGCAGTAAAAATCGAGTAAGAATATGGAAGATTTTTTAATTTTTTGACAATTTTCGGGTAAAAATTCGAAATAGTCATTCATTTCCGCATTCCTACCCTACCCTATCCTACCTACAATAATTTTTTAATATATATATATATGTAAACTAAAAAAAACCCTAAACCTTAGCGGAGCAATTATGATTTTAATATATTTCATATGGTTTAAAGTTTAAACTTAAATTAATTGTTATTGTATTTGTGTAACAATTATGGTAGATTGATGTTCATACTTTTATGTGTTTTATTATAATTCTTGTTATAGTTATTTTAGATTTTAGTGTTAATTGATTTATTGTATTGTTAAATTGGTGCATGTTATTTAATTAAATTGTTAAAATGATCTAAAAATTAATTGTTACAAAAATATTTACCTAACTTCCTATACGATTAATCGGGTAGGAAGGCGGGCAAGAATATCACACATGTCGGGTAGGATAGGCCAAAAAAATTTTTTTTCATAAAATATCGGGTAAAAAAACAAAAGAAAATATTTCTTATTCGTAGAATAAGGTGAACACCCTAGTGGGTCATGTCCCAAAGTTCTACCAGTATATCAAATACTCAATCTTCATTGGCCAAATGCCAAAAATGGGTCTCGCAAACCTCTAAGTATCCTCCGAATAAAAAAATATTGAGCTTAACCTTTGACACCACATCATCATTGCAGCTGATGTCATCTTTTTTTCTTTTGTTTCTATTTTTCATTTTTTTTTGTCTCATTCTCTCAAGATTCTATCACCGAAGAGATCAAGGAGTCGATCCTTACCAAATTGTAGTCTTGATTTTTTATGCTCTCCCTTTAGGGAATGCTATTAAGCCCTCTTTAGGGTTTCTCTTTATCCCTTTTGAATGTTTTTTTTCTCTGTTATGGGTGCGTTATTCAAAAGTTATATAGTTAATTTTGTTTATATAATCTAGCGAACTATCAAGATTTCAAACACAAGTTACGTGTAAAGTCATTAGGTTAAGAGCGCGTCCGCCAGGGCATATTGAATGTTTTGTGGTGGGTGGATCAATCGATACTAATTTGGTAAAAAAAAACGTGGGTGTACTATTGCTGTTGTATGGGAGAAGTTTATGAAGGTTGAACTAAACCACACAAAATGGCACCCAATCTCAAACAAGACACGTACATTTGTCACTTACCATACAAAAAGCAACTCCTGTGGCGACGTGTAAACTAACACCCCCACATACTTGCTTCGCTTTCTTCCCTCACAATATTAAAGCTTCATGGAATCTTCATCACAAGAATGAAAGCAAACGCAGGAGAGAGAGAGAGAGAGAGAGAGAGAGAGAGTTTTAAGCATACCCCATTTTAGCTGAAGAACAACCCACAAACATGGGCTCAAAGAGTGGTGAAAATGCGTCTCATCACCAAGTTGTCTCAGTTTCGTCGGAGTTCAAGCAAACTGAGAAAAAAGATGATCAGATTGAATCAGAAAGGCCATTTTCAGAGGTTGATAATCATCAGAATCTGCCTCAAACCCCATCTTCTAAATCAAAGAAACCAACAAATGACGCAACTTCAGTACTACAAGGGTGTACATCAACTCCAGTACTGGACGTGATCACTACAAATGCACCACCCAGCTCCACCGAGGCAATGGCGGAGGACAGTGGCCGTGAGAGGCTGAAGAGACACCGGATGGAGGTGGCGGGGAGGGTTTGGATCCCGGAGATATGGGGCCAAGAGGAGCTGTTGAAGGATTGGACTGATTGCACTGCCTTTGATGCTTCATTGATGAATAACAGCATAATGTCAGCTCGTGCAGCTTTGGTTGAAGGTGGAAGAAATTCTAGGAGATTAAGGATAGAGAACAGGTGCTAGCTGAGTTTTAAAACCTAAGATTTGAATTTCCTATTTCTTTTTTTTGTTTGTTTTGAACAAAATAAAGCATGGGACTCCCGCAATATTTGTACCCGCTCTCTAATCTGGATGATTGATAATGCACCTAAGTATGAAGATATTGGGCTATGCACCTCTTTTATGTAGATCATTATTATGATAGCACTTCTATTCTAATCAGTACATTTCGAAAGAACAGACAAGTTCTTTGACTTTAATTTTAGTTTGTTCAAGCTTGTTCATATTAAAAAAAATGAACCAAAAATTGTCTAACCTAAGTAATGTCACGCTTGATTCTTATCGTGCTTGTATTTTTAGGATTTTTTCGTGTCTAAGCTCAAATTCGATCAATTACAAGAATAGTTGAGTTGAAAGGATCATGAACATATGATCTAGAAAGAGAGTTGTGCTTAAGCAATAATATAAACTGAGTTCGAGTATGTTATAATTATCTTATCCAATTTGGATAGATCTAAGCTTAGAAGATTCAGCTCGATTAATGGCCTATCAGCCTATGAGGCGCCGCAGTATTCTCAAATTAAATCAATTGTATTACTCCTCTTAGGGTTTGATCCCAGAACAATTTAGAATTCGACCTCATAGTATGAAAATGAGCTGAATCAGTCGAGCTAAACATGATTGTACCGTCTAGAAAAGAGAGTCGTGGTTGAGAGAGAATTCAAACTCAACAATCAAGTTCAAGTCTGATATAATCAACTTGTCAATGTCTCTCAAAACTGGAAAGTTTCAACTCGATTAACTGTTATACTAATTACTTGTCTTGGGACTTGATCCCTGATTGACGTGATACAACTGGGTTACTAGGGTTCAAAATCTAACCAAAGACTGTTAAGTATAGTTGTTTGCATGTAATGAGGTGAGAGACTTGGAAGTAACCTTCCATCTTCTCTTTCGATCAATCCTTGAAGTTCAAACAAATCAGTTATCTTTGAAAAAGATAGCTAAGACCGTCATTGAGACACTAGAAGAAGCAAAACAAGAAGAAACTTCTAAAGCGAGAAGTTCACCAACGGAACATAATCGTAAAGGAGTACTCTTGATTGGATCCATTTCCCTTAAAGTAAAGTTCCCCGAGGCCGGAAAATAAAACAAGGTGTACAGCCACCTATGCCCATATGAGAATTGCAGTCATTAAGCTAATGTCCGGAAAATGTATCAACAATTGGCTCCTCCATCATCCGGTGACACAAGACCTGATTTAACACCCCCAATAGAATGTCCTATACCCAAGATTGTAAACTTTGTTTAGTAAAAACCAACACAGTGCAGGAGGTTGCCACACCCACGTCGTAGTGTAGTTTGAAAGAGTTATATGTAAACAATTTTACCATCTCATACGAAAAAACTGTTTCAACGGCTCGATCTCAAACACAAAAAATAAAATAATCTTACCACTGCACAAAGGCTAAGTAATGTGTTTGCAAGGGATACAATGCAGTGGATTTGGGGGTGTTGTGTGCCTCAAACAAAGTGAAATCCGTAAACCAGTGGCTTCTATTTACGAAGTAATCGGTGATTGAGATTACAAAGTGGCATAGCGCACGGTACATTCATCACATAATCAGGTTCCAAAGGAAACAAAGCATACAAATCCAACTGTCTGTACCTGTGTGTGTGTGTGTGTGAGAGAGAGAGAGAGAGAGAGCCCGAATCAAGCTCAGTTGCAGAGGAATTTACCATAGAAAATAATATATAAAATTGAGCACCGACTTTTATTATTTTCAAAATGATCTATACTTCTGCTGGACCATATAAGTTACAACAAGATTTTGGAAAATATATCAAAACTTTGACATCACCAAACAAATTACATGATATTTCTACAACATTGTGAGATGACTGATAAGCATCTCCACTGATTCCCAATAAAACGGAACTACAACGAAAATTGCTTATTTCCCGGATGGAGGAGCCAACTCCCATATCTTGATGGTCCCATCATCACTTGCAGAAGCAAGTAGCCTGTTTTCCTGCCAAGTTTCAATGAATGGAAAATGTATAAACACTAAACGTTCTCTACTGTGAGTCTAAAATGAGGACTAAAGGAACTCGACACATTCACAAAGTATGGGAGCTAAGCTGTGAAACAAGGACGTCTCACTCTCTCCTCTCTCTCCCCACCCGTTTTAGGTCAATGCAAAGTATGACTTAGCCCCATGTGGATGGAGAGAAAAAAGCCAAAGCAAACTATCTTCGGTCAAAGGACTCCAATCCACTACGGAATTTCTACAGAAAGAAAGGGGAAAACTGATCCTTGACATGGTGTGTTCTACTCCCAAATCTATCTTTTGAAAGGTGGATCAGTAATACTAGGGTAGATAATTTTCATAAGATGACTTTTATGAACTTCTGGTACCTGCTTATCACAAGTTCAGAAGCATCAGGTTGGAGAACCTAAGATGGACTAGCAAGGGATAGGGATATCATAGAGACTCCCACCCAGCAGAGTAATATGTGTGCTATTCACTCTTAATCACATTGATGATTCTATCTGAATGGTTAGCATAGACGCTACAGATTCGATTGGATTGAGCCTTGGTATGGAAACTTACTAAGTGATAACTTTCAAATTCAAAGAACCCCTGGAATTAATAAAAATGGACAAGCCTGATCCAAATCCTATTTTCCGAAAACAAAGGTTTAGAAAGCAAAAATAAAGAGGGTAGGTGCAGAGACTCAAAAGGAAGCTGTTCTAACAAATGAAGTTGACTGTGTTGCATTGGTAGAGGAATCCTTCTAACTGTTGCTGGGTAATTTCTGCCAACTAGTTTAGAGACATATGTTCTGGACAAATAAAGAACCAATACACAATTGTCAGGAGGCTGTAATCTGGACGTCCAAATTGTGAATCCAAGGACACCTAGGGTTAAGATAACCAGAACTGATCCCCCCACAACCACACATCCATATCACATGAGATCTTATGTCAAAGTGCGAGTGAATTAACCGATTCTCATAAAATTATGAATGTATGTATGAATTGAAATTACCGCAGAGCTCCATTGAACTGAATTTACGTCCATGTCATGCGCCTGATCCTTCTTCAGAAGCAATTTATAGGTAGGTCCATCAATCTGTGACAAAAATACATAACAAAGTCCTTGTTATCTCACTGACACTGAAAAGGGCAATACAGATATACAGGATTCTTAGAACAGAAAATTCATAAAACCCATATCTTCTTTATGAACAGCACATATTGAAGAACCATTCATATGGGCAAATAGATAGCACACCAGTATCTTCAGTGTTTTTATTTGACATCGCTTAGTGTTGTCCCCTAAACTTAATGACAGTAAACCACCCAAATTCCTCAATACTTGAAAATCCTATCAGTAGCTTCTTTTCATGACCTCTTTACAAATGTCGAACTGCCCGCGATGCATTAAAGTTGAATTTTAGATACGCTATATCCCACTCAACGTATAAGAGATTAAAAATTATGTGGTACTCCGCAAAATTTCTCCACACTAACTGTTCATATTTGACAATAGCAGTAGTAAGCCTGAGACTCAGAATCAACAGAAGGGACAACTTGCCCGTCATTGAGTCACTTACAAGAAGTCATGTTCGTGTTGCCTTTTTGTTTCTCCCTAATTCATGTAGAGCTTACATGGAAGGAGAAGCTTTTAGTGTTTGACACATCAAATGGGATTAAAGAAGAAAGTTGAGATACACCATGGATGTGCAGATTCCTAGTTTTACAATTCATTTCCTCACCAATTCTTCATACACGAGGAGAAGGATAAACCTTTGGCTTGCATTTTTACTGAATAACCTAAAATTTTGGGCGCATAGAGGAAAAGACAACAATTCATGAAAAGAAGGAAAAAAATTCAAAATATCCCTAAATATATACCCAGAGAAGAGGGTAATAAAACCCACTTTGGCAAACATGGTGTCGATTGCATTTTGGCAAAACAAGGGATACTCCTAAACATATGGACAGATTAATTCTCCCTGAGAAGATGAGGAGGCTAGCTTTCTCATACTCATGACACCAATGGTATTAATTGAGATACAATAATAACAATAAAGAAGAGGAGGATTGGAAAGGCAGCCAAGCCAGGATTAAAACAAACCAAAATGATGCTATAAATAATGTATTATTGGGGGACTCCAAGAGTAGATCTAGTAAAGGAAGGAAGTAGAAACTCAAGAGGTGTCAGAAAGTTTGAAATATCAAAACAATTACAGCACCACTCCGAACTGACTTTGGTGCACATTTCAAATGGGAAAACGATAACAGGAATGCAAAACAAGCAAAAACACAAGAACACTTGCTACAACTGACAACTTTGAACAAGGGAAAAATGATGGAGAAATACCTGCAGATAGCATATGCGAGTTTTTTACCATTTTGCCATGTGAAATATACTAGATTTCATGTCACATGCAATCCCTAGAATTGAAAAACATACTACAACAAGTTGTTATGTCGGCTCATCAAGAAATCCCCAGATCATTAAGAGGAAAGAGAATTATCAGGACAATCATCACATAATGATTCTATTATGTGAATATAATTGTATGTATTTGCAAAGTCTTCAAACTATGCTTTGAATTAAAATTTTCATAAGGTGTATTAGGTATTTTAACCAACATTGGCATATCATTGGGCTTGCTCTTAAACTAGCAGAAAAAACAAACCCTCAACATCACCGATAGTAGATCATTAGTTTTTTTCTTTTTGAACAGGAGGAGATCATAAGTTTACTGACCAAAAGAAGCACAGTGATATTGAAGCAGAGGGAAAACATCTGTATTGCACAAGTTGAGAGGTCATGTATCACTGAATTTCCTCCTTAGAGCAAACCAGTTCCACATTCTAAAGGCATCAGGTGGGAAAGGAACAATGCCAAGTTAGCAGAGCAGGATATCTCATAACAAAAGGTGCCCAGGAAGAGGAATGGTTATTTTGAGAAATCAATTAGACACCCAAAGCACTATCAACTATTGATCAAAAGTATAGATATCCAAAGAGCCTCACACAAACAAAGGAAGTCAAATTTGCAATCCGAAGAGGAAACCAACTCCCCCTCAATATATAATCATATCCTTCCAAAGCAACAATTGATAATATCAAAATAAGGTATTACTGCAAAATAATTTAATGTGTGAACAAATACAAAGTGCTTCCCAAAACTCCCAAGTTATGGCTGGGTTAAAGAAGTGACTATATAACCATCTAAAGAATTCTTTGAGCCACCTAGATAACTGTTTCGACAAACAACACAAATGAAAAGTAAACTTTACTTTCACACAAAATTAAAGGCAGTGAAAAAACAGTTGGGCTCTACTGCATTGAAAACAATAGAGTAAGACTTAAAGAAACAAAACAACACACGAAATATATATAAAGCTAGTCCTTCTAGTTTTCTGGTTCATAGACCAGAAATCACAATGAATGAGAAAGATGTTTTAGTACCAAACCATTTTCGCCTGGAACAAATAGACGTATAGCATCATCAGCTGCTCCACTAGCAATTATTCCTTCCCTGTCATAGTTGCACATCATAAATAGAAAAATCAAGAGAGGAGGAGACAATCCACAACTCAGTTGATTAAGCTGTGACAATGGAGCTTTAACTATTCCATATTAATGCAACTAGAAAGTGGGGTGTTTACGCCAAGAACTCAGACTCAATCTCTCACCAAAATCATATATTCAAATTTCAACAACTGTTAAAAAGGGTGAAATGGATTTAGGGTAGTCCCAAATTACCCATTCCATGAATGAGTAGGCTAACAAGGAAACAATTTAAGGATCTTTTACCCTTGTGTGACAAAGGGAAGAAAAGGGGGGTGTTTAATTTATGAAACACGACAAGGATCAGAGCACATACTAAGCATATGACTAAACAATTACCATAACTGTATAAATTCTTGCTACCTTGACCAATGCGCTGAAAAAATTGTCCGATCATGATAACCAGAGAGAGTGCAGATATGTTTCCTGAAACAGACCAAAAAACGAAACTAACTTATTAATTTGCATAGGGTAATCAACACAAACACATACTTAATAGAAGATTATGCATATTCAACCTGAATGTATAATTCTCAAATTACCAACTCTAATCCCTAGGTATATGCGTCATACACAATCCACGAAACCAATGCTTTTTCAAAGAATAAACCACAACCCTAGCTTGTGAGATTAAATATATGAATCACCAAAATAGAAAATCTAGCTCTTCACAAAAATAATTTGAAAAGCATGGATTACATAATATATTCATAGCCATAGCTTATCATATATTAATAGATAATCTCTATATATATTGACTGATAGATGGCATCCCAAATAAAATGGGAACAAAAAGGGGGCATTTTTAACTTCTAGTCAAAACCATTATCTCTGTTACCTTTTTCACTTTGGTCACAAGTTGAAGGAGATTAGTGTCGCGAATTATAGGTGAGGGCGGTGATGTGTCAGTGTAACAGCCTAAGTACAAGGTGGCCAAATGCAACTACCCATAATGTAAAATATTTAACTCTAAACTAAAGAAGACAAACAAAAACTCTAAACTAAAGACATAACTCGCACAGCAATATAATACAAACACGCACACGCATAAACGTCAAGCAATGCTACAAAAGAAAATCAAGCACATAAGATAGTAAGTTCCTCACCAAGGTGCAATGCCATCACCAGACTGCATTTTCATGATATCAGCACCCCAAATCTTGATGGTGAGATCATCACTGCAAAATTACTTACTAGTGTTCAGCTTATGAGTGTTATTCTATTCCTCACTGGGAATGGCTGACTTATCATTGCCATTTCTAATGTACAAAAAGTGCATCAGTGCTAGGAATATTCATTTCAATTAGTAAGTACAGAAACATGAGACGAGCCATCCATACCTACAGGTAACCATTTTGTCTCCACTGGAATTAAAAGAAAGGGCCCAGACTGTAGATGAGTGTCCACTGAAATGACAATTGGTGTAGTTGCATAAGATTTCGACATATCTTAAGAAAGGTTGATTACAAGCTTCAAAAAATATAACCCTGCTACAAAAGAAACCTGTGGCATTGCACATAAAGTTCATGCGCATGATTGGGATTCAGGACAAGACTAAGGTATCTTCATACAAATGATGATGCATTTACTAATTAAGAGAACCGCCACCAAATCACATTGAAAGTGAAACACGCCAAAATGACTGATGAAACTTCTGTCATCAAATAATTTATGGAAATCCGCATTTGACACCTACTTAGGTTGAAGATATTCCTCCCTTTGGCATTACTGTAATATTCTGTCAATAATATTTTGCTTTTTACAAAAAACTCTTCATTTCGCACAAGCCAACTAAAGTTCAAAGAAATAAAATTGAGGCCGTACTCGCTAGATTCATTTATCGTCTGCACACAATGCCAATCATCACTGTCACCATCCTCTGCCCAAACCTGCATACCATTTAATGCATTTAATCAACCATATGTCAACTTATGTAGTTTAAAAATGAAATCTGAGATGATTAAACATTTTATAGGGCTTCCATTGAGAGAGCGAAAATGTGGATATAATGTAAGAAAGAACAGGACATTTGAATTGCCTTAATGGTGTTATCGTAGCTACATGAACACAGAATATCCATAGATGGATGCCACTGGACCATTTTAACATCTTGGGTATGTCCTTGCAATACAGAAACACACTCAAACTCATTTCCGGGCAAAACTTCCCAAATCCAAACAGATTTGTCTCGGCCACAAGTTGCAAGCAGCGATCCCGAAGCATTCCAAGATACACTTTTCACTTCATTTTCATGACCCTACATGGGAAATGCACGACCCAAGTTAAAATTCATTCTATATATAGATGTATTCAGCCCTCAAAAAATATAGATGTGTTCCAATAACTTTAGCAGGTCAAGATTTGAATAACCCCAGGTGGGACCATCTTTTGGCCACATGTCTAAACCCAATAAAAGAAACATCACAATATAAGTACAACTTTTTAAGGCCCTAGCATTTACCGCATGCATAACTTTAATCAGAGGAAAGTCACAATTGCTGCTCAAAAACGAAAACAACAGAATGTATATGCCAACACACCGCATTAGTGGATTTTAAGTATTAAATAGTACCTCTAAAGTGGACACGCATTCGTAATCATCGCCAACCTTATCCCAGATAGCAGTAGTGGCATCAAAACTTCCAGTTGCCAACAATTTACCTGATGGTGACCAGGCACATGATCTAACAGTGCGAGTGTGTGTCTCTTCTAAAACTGCCTGCATGATTGTAGTCCGAGCATCATTAATGAAAATGCAAAGCAAAGTCTAGAGAAGAAGGAAGGCTTAGAAAAGATTGCATTCAATAAGAAAAAA